ACACCCAGTCAGGTTGCTGCACCGCTGGTTTCCGCAGTTTCTGATTTTTCTGAGGTGTGGGGCGACCCTTGCCGCTAGCGTCGTCGTCGCCGGGCCAGGACTTTCAGAAAGAGTGCACCAGCAGCCGGAAGGACCAAGGCAGTGCCTCAGGTCGCCCGGGAAAAATAAAATAAAAAAAACTTTTTTGGTGGGAAGGCGGCGAGTGAATGTGGCAGGCGGGCAGGCAGCCAGACCAGCCCAGCCCAAGCCAACTAAGGCGACGCTGGGCCTGCCACACCTGCGAGGGGACACCCATGGGTCCGCCTGAGTGGCCTCGAGTGGCCCTCGTTCAGTGGGAATGGAGGGGGAGGAGGGGGCAAGAGCGATAACACAAGCCAGAAAAGCGATTGCAGATAAAAAAAACTCGTCCCCCCGCCATCTTCTCCCCCCTCCCGAATATTTTTTTCCTCCTCTTCCTCTCTCGAACCTCTCTCTACCTCCGTTCCCTTTTCTTCCTCTCCTGGATTGTTCGTCTTCCTCCAGACGTATCTCCACTCAGTCCTTTGACTTTCTTTTCCACAAAACATCGTCACTGTCTGCGACGGTTGTCAAGAGCTTTGCTGCCCTGATCAACCCCCGCCTTCGCAAGAAGAAACAACAGCGACCGAAGCGCCACCTAGAGCAGAAGTTTTCGACGATCCTCCAGTCGTCGTCTCTTCTCGCGGGCCTTCCCAATACCCAGAACTCGCCTTTCGGTTTTACGATAGAGCATAGACTTCGCATCTAGACGCTTTAGACGTTCGGATCTGCGATTCTTTCACACCAAATTTCGACGTCACCCCGATCGAGATTAATACCCCCCCCAACAACCGCCATAATGTCTTCCGAGAACGCTCAGTCCGTCAAGGTTCTTGACGAGCTCTTCCAGAAGCTCACCGTCTCCAAGGAGGCTGCCGATGTCAAGGAGTCTGCCAGCGCCCTGGCTTCCTTCATGAACGGCCGCATCGAGGACCAGGATGTTCCCACCAAGTGAGTTTTTCTCCCTTTAACTCCCGCTTCCGTCCCCTACACACCACGGCAATGAAGCGACGCTACGAGAAGAGTCGGAAAGGAGTATGGCAGATGCGACCCAAGCCACCGTGTCCGCGGCCTTGGGTCCCTTCTCCAACTTTTCAGATTTTTTTTCCTGCGTGCTTATTTTTTTCGCCTCGTCTCGGGCGGCCTTTGCACCGACCCGCCAGCATCTGCAAGTTGGCTGTCTCCCTGGCCACTCAGCGGCGAGCTATTTTCGGTGCACACACAAAATTTTTCTGGAGCATCAGAACTGACATGGATTACCCCGCAGGAGCATCGAGGCCATCCGCAAGCTGTTCAACAACAAGAAGGATGCCGCTGCCCGTGAGAAGGCTGCCCTTGCCATCGCCGCCATCGCCCAGCACTCCGAGGTCTCCGCCCACGTCGAGCCCTTCCTTGTCGCCCTCCTCCCCAACGTCCTCGCCGCCGTTGGTGACAAGATCACCGGTGTCAAGAATGCCGCTCAGGCTGCTGCCCTGGCCATCGCCGAGGCCGTCAACCCCAACGCCGTCAAGGGTGTCTTCGACCCCGTCTGCAACTCCCTCCTGACCGCCCAGAAGTGGCAGGAGAAGATGGCTGCCCTCGACGTCCTCGAGACCGTCGTCCGCACCGCCCCCGCCCAGGTCGCTTTCCGCGTCCCCGACCTCATCCCCGTCGTCTCCGAGTCCATGTGGGACACCAAGAAGGAGGTCAAGGAGCGTGCCTACAAGACCATGGAGCTCATCTGCCAGCTCATCGTCAACAAGGATATCGAGCGCTTCATCCCCGAGCTTATCAAGTGTATCGCCAAGCCCGAGAACGTCCCCGAGACCGTGCACTTGCTCGGTGCCACCACCTTCGTTACTGAGGTCCAGGAGCCTACTCTTGCCCTCATGGTTCCCCTCCTTGACCGTGGTCTTGCCGAGCGTGAGACTGCCATCAAGCGTAAGTCCGCCGTCATTGTCGACAACATGTGCAAGCTCGTCGACGACCCCAACATCGTTGCTCCTTTCTTGCCCAAGATGATGCCCGGTCTTGAGAAGAACCACGACAACTTGGCCGACCCCGAGGCTCGTGAGAAGACTCGCCAGGCCCTCGACACCCTCATCCGTGTCGGTAACGTCGTTGACGGCAAGATCCCCGAGGTCAAGCGCGACTCCGACGTCAAGGTCGTCCTCCCCAAGCTCAAGGAGGTCATCCCCGCCAAGCACAAGGCCAAGGCTGAGAAGCTCGAGATCGTCCTTGAGTACGCTGCCGCCATTGCCGGCCAGCTCATCGACGAGAAGGAGCAGGAGTCCCAGGTCTGGGCTGAGGCCCTCAAGCCTTACATCGCCGTCGTTGTTGGCGACGAGGATGCTCAGAAGGTCACTGATGAGCTCCGCAAGAAGGCTTCCCCCGGCGCTGCCGAGGAGGCTGAGGGTGACGCCGACGACGAGGAGGGTGAGGACCTTTGCAACTGCACCTTCTCTCTCGCCTACGGTGCCAAGATTCTGCTCAACCAGACCCACCTCCGTCTCAAGCGTGGCCAGCGCTACGGTCTTTGCGGTCCCAACGGTTCCGGCAAGTCTACTCTCATGCGTGCCATCAACAACGAGCAGGTCGAGGGTTTCCCCAAGCAGTCCGAGGTCAAGACCGTCTTCGTTGAGCACGACCTTGACTCTGCTGACACTGAGATGACCACCATCGACTGGACCATGATGAAGCTCAAGACTGCCGGCGTCGAGACCGCCCAGGCCGAGGTCGAGGCCAAGCTGAACGAGTTCGGCTTCACCGACACCATGGTTAAGGGTGAGATCTCTGCCCTGTCCGGTGGTTGGAAGATGAAGCTCGCCCTGTGCCGTGCCGTCTTCGAGGCCCCCGATATCCTGCTCCTCGACGAGCCTACCAACCATTTGGACGTGAAGAACGTCAAGTGGCTCGAGGAGTACCTCTGCACCTCCCCCTGCACTTCCATCATCGTCTCCCACGACTCTGGCTTCCTCGACAACGTCTGCCAGCACATCATCCACTACGAGCGCTTCAAGCTTAAGCGCTACCGTGGTAATCTGTCCGAGTTCGTCAAGAAGAACCCCCAGGCCAAGTCCTACTACGAGCTCGGTGCCTCCGAGATGGAGTTCCGCTTCCCCGAGCCCGGTTTCCTTGAGGGTGTCAAGACCAAGGCCAAGGCCATTCTCCGTGCCAGCAAGATGTCCTTCCAGTACCCCGGCACCAGCAAGCCCCAGATCTCCGACATCACCTTCCAGTGCTCTCTCGGTTCCCGTATTGCCGTCATTGGCCCCAACGGTGCCGGCAAGTCCACCCTCATCAACGTCCTCACTGGTGAGCTTATCCCTACCGAGGGTGAGATCTACCAGCACGAGAACATCCGTATCGCCTACATCAAGCAGCATGCTTTCGCTCACATCGATAACCACCTCGACTCCACTCCCTCCGAGTACATCCAGTGGCGTTTCCAGACTGGTGAGGATCGTGAGACCATGGATCGTGCCAACAAGGTCATCACCGAGGCCGATGAGGAGGCCATGAACAAGATCTTCAAGATCGAGGGTACCCAGCGTCGCATTATCGGCATCAACTCTCGCAGAAAGTTCAAGAACTCCTACGAGTACGAGTGCTCTTTCGCCATTGGTGACAACGTCGGCCAGAAGAACGAGCGCTGGACCCCCATGATGTCCGCTGACAACGCCTGGTTGCCCCGTTCCGAGCTTCTGGCTTCCCACCAGAAGATGGTTGCCGATGTCGATATGAAGGAGGCCCTCGCCTCCGGTCAGTTCCGTCCTCTGGTCCGTAAGGAGATTGAGTCTCACTGCGCCAACTTCGGTCTCGATGCTGAGCTGGTTTCCCACTCTCGCATGCGTGGTCTGTCTGGTGGCCAGCGTGTCAAGGTCGTCCTTGCCGCTTGCTCTTGGCAGCGTCCCCACTTGATCGTTCTTGACGAGCCTACCAACTACTTGGACCGTGACTCTCTCGGTGCCCTGTCCAAGGCTCTCAAGGCCTTCGAGGGTGGTGTCATCATCATCACTCACTCTGCCGAGTTCACCAAGGACTTGACTGAGGAGGTCTGGGCTGTCATGGACGGCAAGATGACTCCTTCCGGCCATAACTGGGTCCAGGGCCAGGGTGGTGGTCCCCGTCTCAAGGCTGACGACGGTGAAGAGGAGGAGAAGTTCGACGCCATGGGCAACAAGATCGTCAACACCAAGAAGAAGGTTAAGTTGACTTCTTCCGAGGCCCGTAAGAAGAAGAAGGGTATGTTCATTCCAGCTATCACTTGATTCGAACCGCATGCTAATTTTCTCTGCAGAGCGTATGGCCCGCCGCAAGCGTGGTGAGGAGGTCTTCTCCGACGAGGACGACATCTAAACCAACTCGTCACGGTCGCTTTCCTTTCCATTTGTCACGAGCCTTCCAAAAGTCTTTTCGGTAACGCGGGTTGCATGGTTACGGGCCTGTTTATGATTTCTTTGACGAGCACCCATGAGATTCCCCTTTGACATGAATCGCCGGATGAAGGAATGACCATCTCGTTCCAGGATTGGAGGATCCTGCAGGCGAGGAGAGAGGTTCCTGGCGACAGGGAATGTGGGGTAGAATAAGAGGTAGAAAGAGTAAATAGACGGCAATACATGCCATAGACATTTCACAATAGTTCCGTTGATGTGATGAGCTGGTGATGATTCCTTGCTACTGATGCCGCAGGTTTGGTGTGTTGCAGGGACAATCCCTGCCATCCCTTGACAAGGAAGTCTTCAATAGCCATTATCCCTCGGTATGCCTTTTAACATGATTCCTTTGTCTGCAACGTCAATGATGGCAGCTTCCTGCTTGTGTTCGAGTTTCCCGAGCTGCATTTGGCCGAGTCACCCTCGTTTTACATTGTCTTCTGTTTGCTTGTGGTCACAATCATCCGCACCTTGGTCTTTGTTTCTACAAGGCAAACGCTTCGCAACGCTCAAGGACAATGTTTTTCAGCGTCTTTTCCGCGTCCGCCTGCGGCCCTTTTTCCCAACGACGGTCCACCCGTCAGGTTGTACACCCTCCATGACAACATCCCCATCCACCGATTGCGGCTTTTCGTTCAACAAAGGAAGCACGAGCTCCTCCACTCTGCCATTTCCAACCGCGCTGCCGAGATCCCCTGTCCCACCTCCTCGCGCCCGCGTCTTCGGAGGCGCCTGCGTCGGTCTGACGTCGCTCTTGGGACCGGGAGACGCCGCGTCGCCCTGCAGTGCCCTCGCCCAGGTCATCTCGACCTTGGCGGCTTTGATGACTTTGGGGAAGTGGCCGGGAGCTGGGGCGCGGGGGACGCGTTGGACGTCGGTTTTCCAGCGGGGATTGCCGGTGCCGGGGTTGGGGTGTCGATGGTCGTGTTGTGCGATGATGCGGTGGCGGCAGGAGGTTTGTAGCCATGTTCGCAACTCGGCGTCGTATGGTGAGGAGCTCAGGGTTTTCCCGGCGCGGGTGAGGAGGGATGAGGTGAGTGGTGATGGGTGGGTGTATCTGATGAACGCTGTGGTATGTTAGTGGAAGGGCGAAAGATGTAGATGGGGATGCGTACTGGTTATGTTGTAGATGAACGTCCCGTCAGAGATGTATGCCTCGCGGAAACCTAGGGCCGTCTCTCTCCCATTGAATTCCCGCAAAGCAGTTTGCGTCATTGGGAACTCTTCTGGGCGTGATGCGATCTTGGCGACGATGAAGTCGCGTGTGTCCCAAAGCTTCGTCAGCACCCAGTGCGGGTTCTGTGCCTCGAGGTGTGGTGTGCAATCTGTGCCCCAGTATGGTCCAAGATCGTTGAGTGCCTGGGTCTGCTCAGGCTTGATGTCTGCAGTTTGCAATTGTCAGTATTCGGTCAACGCAAAGGGCATAATGGAACTCACTTTCCCGCCCGAAAACACAGTCCCGAATCCGGATCTGCGAGGACGAGAGCGGCTCGGTCGGCGGCTTCTCCATCACCACGCGTCCGATCCGCAACTCCTCCAGCGCGGCACGTACGTCCAGCCCGGAGACAGATCCGCCATGCCCATGGGCTTGCCTCCAGGCCTCGGTGGCGTCTTGGCCGGCGAGCTGGGAGATGAGGTACGCGCCGCCGGGGTGCATGTCGCAGTATCCTGCCCAAAGTCAGCCCTGCTTTGTATCTCGCGGACGTTGATAACATTACCGGTGAAATCGTAGACGCTGCCGTTGATGACGACGTACATCCCCGTCTCGCGGGACGCGAACCACTTCACCTCGCTGGGCGTGAACACGCGGTCTCGCCGCCGCGGGCCGGGCACCTCGTCGCGCAGCCAGCCGATCTTGTACGGGAGGAGGTTGGTGAGGATCAGGTCTGGGTGGAAGCCGGCGTCGATTGCGTCGACGGGGTTTCGGGTGCGGGAGAGGATGTGTTGGAGGGCGTGGAGGTCTGGGGAGAGGTGCAAGTCTTTGTTCTGTGTAAGTCGAGGTCCAATGAGAAGGCATGGAACTTACTTGTGATGTCGAAGACTTCGACTCCGAGGGCGATCCAGTTTGGTCTGCCCTCGTTGCCGTCGTTGATGCGGACGTCTTCTGCTTGGCGCCGGAGCATTGCCTGGCCGAGGGGTTCTTGGCTGAGGACTTGGGAGAGGATGTTCGCCTCGAGGTTCGGAGAGAGCATGCGTCCTCGTGAACCGGGAGTAGTGAAGACTTCCCTGGCATCGTAGTCCCAGCCGTCAGGAAACATCTCGGTGACGTTGTAGACCTGGACCTCCATCTTGTCTTCGTCTTGCCATAAGACGACTTTCCTCCCTGGTCCCAGCGACTGGAGGTCTCCAATCTCGCCAGGCGAGTAATGCTTAATTGGTGTGTTTGCGACCTCCTCTCCAGCAATACCAGACCTTGCAATGGCCCAGCTGGGCAAGTCAGCATCTTCATCATCAACCCGCTCATCCTGATACCCAACGGGGAAGAACACCTCCCCGCTGTATTCTGGCATCCGGAACCCGAAGTCCAACCAAACATCATCCAAAGGGAACTTATCCATCTTTGCCCTCATATCCCTCATCGCAGCCTCAAACTCCATCACAAGCTCCCCGGACACAACACCGCCCCATTTCCATCTCAAAAACGCAACCCTCGCATTATCAAAGCACACCTCCCGATCGTGACTCCTCCCCCCAGCCCGCCCGATCACTCTCCTCCTCTCCCTCTCTTTCTTCTCCCTCCCGCGCCGCATGACACCCCCCAGAAAACCCCGCGGCGCCGCAAACCTCGCTCCATGGACAAGAACCTCCGGGTACGCCGGCACGCTCTCGTCTTCCCACGAGTACACACCCCGCCTCACCGGCGCCGCAGCCATCGCAAGAAACCCAACCGCCCTCCAAAAGCCTCTCCCGCTCCTTTCCCCCTCGATCCTCGTCCCGCAGACTTGCTCCTCAACGCCAAACGGGGCAACCATCTTCTTCGCAGCCGCGATAACCCCAGCCTCGCACTTGACACTCCTCCCAATCCCTTTGATCCCCGGCACCCAGCTGCGCATCTGAAACTCCGCAAACGGCGTCTCGCACCACTTCGCATACTCGCACGCATACCACGGCCTCAACACCTTCAACCGCCCCCTCCTCTCCCTAATCCGCCCCCCAAACCCGCCAGCATCATCAAGCACACCCGCTCGGCGCACCGTATACCCCCTCGCCTTCGAGTACTCCGCCCTCGCAACACTCACACCCCCCGTCTGAACCCTCAGACCCTCCGCCCCAAACTTCCTTACCCTCCGCCCCCAGAAGTCCTCGCGGGTCATCTCCCACAGCACCCGCCCCGGCACGCCCGCGCGCTCCTCGACGAACGGGTCGTCGGGCGCCCAGCCGCCGTAGTACTGGAACTGCCCCGCGGCGGGCGTCTCCGGACGCGGCGCGCGGAGGGCGTGGTACGCTTTGCGGCGGGAGCGGGGACTGGGCCAGGTGTTGCGGAGGACGGTGCCGAGGAAGGCGGTTTCGAAGGAGTAGCCTGCTTCGGCCCAGCGTTCGTTGTTGAAGAACTGTGCGGGTCAGCTTCGGGTGGGGGGATGGGTAGCGGGAGGGAACGCACGAGTTCGAAGGAGGGGCAGTTGTGGGCTGGGTTTTGGGATTTGATGGAGGTGAGGATGTGTCGTGATATTGCGTGCTTCAGATATTTAACAGGTCAGGTTTAGATGTGGGAGTTTGGGGGAGCAAACCATGAGTTCATGCAACATCTAAAATCAAAGATCACATTAGAATGCTTGTGGAAGAGGTGAGTGAACAGAGTACGTACAATAACAGCGACCTCAACACCAGCAACCCTCCTCTCCCCCTCCGTCCCTTCACACATCCTCTCAACCAGCTTCAACTCCACCGTGCACCAATGATACTTCCGCTCTCCATTCATTATCGTGTCCGTCTTGCCCAAAAGCCCCGGCGCCTCGTCCTCGTGATGAAACCCCCAAAACACACTCCCAGCAATCTCATCCAGCACCTTCAGCGCCTGCGCGCGGTCTTCATGCGTAACCGGACCAGGAACCGCGCGGTAGATCGTCGCGTTGGGATACCTCCGCCCATCAACCGTCGCCTCGACCCCGCGCACCGCCTCACGCCCCTCCGTGCCCAGCATCGCGAGCAGCCAGTGGTGCGAGAGCGCCTGCTGCAGCATCCTGTCCGCGAGCTCGATCGCGGGGGCGATGCGGCTCCACGCAGCGTCGTCGTCGATGTGCAGCGGCGCGTTGGCGATGTGGCAGGTGGTGCTGGCCCACCTGCTGCGGTGGAAGATGCTGTGCCAGTTTGCTTCGTTGATGTGTACGAAGCCGTTGTTGGGGGAACGGGATGGGGAGTAAGGGTCGAGGGCCTGGAGGATGAGGGACTCGGAGGTGCGTAGGCCGCTGAGGTTGAAAAGCTGACCGTGTTCGGCGTGGAAGAGGGTGTCGAGGGCGGGCGGGAGAGGGCATGGGAGGGGAACGGGGGTTGGGAGGAGGGAGGTTGTGTTTGGGGATAAGGGGGGATGGGTGGGGATGGTGAAGGGGAGTTCTGTGTCGTCCATTGCAGAAGATGGCGAGCAATAGCATGAGTTGAGAAGATGGTAGGTGATGCTTCAGACTTCTGGGTTGTGGCGATGACATGGTTTTCAGAGGATGATGGAGTTCAGGTATGGAACTCGATTGCCAAGCGGAAGCCAGTGTCGTCAAGAACTTTGACATTCATGATCAAGACTGAAAAGAAAGTGGGAAAATCTTCTCATTCAAGTTTGAGATTATCAGATTCATCATAGAGAACTTTGCCTCGGTCAATATCTGGAAAGGGATGTTGTGCCCATTGTTTCTCGGCCTCGCCCTCGTTTTCTTTGTCACCCGTCTCCCTGCCATATTACCCAGCATTGACATTTCAAGGTCCCAAAGGAAACGCTGAATACCTCTTGTTCTGTCTGTGCTTTTCGCCGGTTTCGTTCAATTGGAAGCTATTTTTCGAAGTCCATTGAAACTGACCACAAAGGGCGGTTGTGTCAATGTCATAGCTTCTCTGGACTTCTTCAATCTCGTCTGGAAGTTGAAAGGGGGCGTGATGCCCGGCCATCAACCTTTGGTTCGATCCCTTTCTCTCCCAAACCTTGAATTTTCAGTTTCGTTTCCTTCAGTGTACTGCGAAGTGTTCTCGACCGTCCCGAGCTCTCGATTTTGTTTCTTTCGCATGTCCTTCGGCTCCCGTAACCGCCAGATGCCAACATGAGCGACAACCGCGTCGCCCCATGGAAGAAGCACTATGTCACGGGCACCCTCCCGCAGCTCAACAACGACAGGCTATCATGGCTGGATCCCATGTTCCCCTCCATGGACCCCGTCACGCTGCGGCTCGACCCGCCCAGCACCAACGCGCTGCCGAAGCCGTCGCCGGCCGAGCTCGACGACCTCTTCCTCTCCGAGCGCCTGCAGAAGCACTTCATGTACGGCCTGACGACGTGGGAGGCCGCGATTCTCGCGAGCGCCGAGGTCTACACGGCGTACGATGAGAGCGACCACACCACGGCCAACGACCTGCGCGTGGACGAGAAGTCGTGGCTGCGGGTGTGGCAGAAGTACCGCTGGAGGATCGACTTTGTGCAGCAGAAGCATTGGACCGGGAATGTTGGTAGGCACTGGACGGTGGATGACCCGTTTCTGTGGACGGAGCTGCGGAAGTGTATTCAGCTGGCGGATAATATCCTGCGGGTGTCTGCGACGGAGCCATGGTGAGTGCAGCACCGTTCGAGACGGATCTGACCGCGATTTAACACCGTCGTGACACAGGCTACGTATGCTACTATCCAAAGACGGCCTCGAATCTGTCAAAGTCGAAGTGCCGTATTGTTCTGGAAATTGGGAGCAAATCTGGCGTGTCAAGAACGACACCTCATTCATGACAACCACACAAGCAGTCCTCGACTTCTTCGAGGACCCAGAGTTCTACACGACCGTTCTATGGGCTTTCAAAGATCATTCTACCAACTTTGTCGCCTCAGAGAATGGCGTGGCCGAAGTTGGGACGACTCATGAAACCTACAATGCGCATCGCAGGCTGTCGCCGATCACCTTGGATATCGTGTATCTGCAGACGATGCTTGACCCGTCCACTACAGCGGTGTCGAAGAGGTTGGCACTGCATCTTCAGGCCCTTACTGTATGTCTCCCGAGATGAACGAGGCGTATTGTTGAAAGTCGTGCTAACTTGACTGGAAAGATTGTGCACGAACTCATGGTGAGTGATGGGATGTCATGTAACTGGGTTTGGTAACCCAACTAATATTCATCAAGCACGCGGTCAACCTAGAGATTCGAAGCAGACCTAATCCTGGATTGACGCAACCAACGCTCACCTCAGGCGGGCACGCAAAACATGAAATCGTAACATCAACCATGTCTTAGAGTCCGCATATCTCGGTACTAACACGTCCCAGTTCGGAGCCAGGGAATATTACCCCGAGATGGGCCACTCCTGGGAAGGGTCGGCTCTCGGCGGCTCTCTCTTCGGTATCGAGTCCCTCGAAACCGGATCCCATTACAGGAACTCCAACGCAGCAGGCATCGTCGCCGGCCTCGCCGTATGGCCGAACATCAACAGCCACAACTGGCACGAGACGTACGGCGTCGCACTCGGCATCCCCTCATACCGTACAACCTGGCCAGCCCCGGCCCTCTGGGCCACCTCGTTCCGCTCGGGCGACTTCTGGAACAAAATCGTGCCCAAATACGGGCCCGGCGCCCTCAAGATGCCCAAGCCGCTCGTCGACGTCACCATCGACGATGACCTGTTCAAATCCGCCGGCAGCACCGTGCCATCGCAGGCGAGGTGGGTGATGGGCTACATCCCCCCCGAGTGGCATCGCAAGTCACTGGGCACTCTGGCGCGGCGGCTCACTGCCCGTCGTCGGGCGTACCAGAAAAGGAGGCCGTGGTTCCCGGACACGTTCGCGATGTGGCAGATGACGCCCTGGAGCTGGACCGACTTCCGCCGCGAGCTGAACATCGCGCTTACTATCCACTTCGTCCGCAGGAGCGTCGTCGACCAGCTGTTGCTGCAGAGCATGATCGTCCGACTCATCCACCCGCTCGTGATCAACATCGACTTCCCCGAGGGCAGGGTGAATATGCATGTGCCCCCCGACTACGAGCACGTCAACAAGGAATGCGCCGTGCAGGCGTGGTTCTTCCGCGCCATCGGCATCCTCATAGCCGCCTCTCTGCCCGCGCACGACGGGGAGGTGGTGCCGGAGAGGGAGCCCTCGCACTACGGCAACCCCAACCCGTGGAAGATCAAGGCCAGCGTCGCGACTGCGCTAAACAGCGCCGAACGGTCGGATCTGTCCGCGGCGATGAGGTATCTGTACAGGAACCGACACAAGTACGACGGCTTCCGGATGGATAAGAGGCATCACGCCCCGGACCCGCCTAAGAACAGGCTGAACCTGCGCCGCGACTTGATCGAGCTGGCCGTGTGCTGCTGGGATGCGTTCGAAGCAGTCTGCGATCTGCCTCTGGGGCTGCGAGGCGCCTTCTTCGCCGCTGTAAACGACATGACGGCGCAGCTGAAGGCGGACTTGGGCAATGATTACAGATCGTGGCTTGACTTCAACTTCCGCATGCCGGAATACGCTGGTGTATGGGAGAATGGGCGAGCGACTGGTTTGGAGAAGTTCAAGGAGGTACTCAAGGATGGATGGGACGCCACGAGCCCGGCGTTCGGAGAAGAAGCTGTTGTGCGATTCAACGGGGAGCCGGTGAAGGACCCCGGTCACATCGAAATTGAACCGTCCTGGGCCATCGGATGCGTGGGTATTGCGGGTGACGTTGTTCCGGTTGATCAGCGTCCCGGAAAAGGCGACTTCAAGTACTTTACCGCAAGCCAGATATATGACCAAGCGGTGAACGAGGGGAAGCCTGTGCTCATTGCTGAAGAAGGGATTCACCTGAACATTTTCCTCGTTTCGGATGTCAAGGAACTCCTGGGCAACATTACTGAAGAGCAACTGAACACCATCACGTCAAAGGAGTTCAATGGCCAACAGCTGAAACCCGAAGCGGTGAAGCTACTAAGACAGGCTGCTCCGAACATCGTGCCGCTGGCGAGGGCGATGAGACTCTGGAGAGAGGACGAGATCGCCCTGTGCGATGGGACGAACGGCTACCCCTTTTGCGTCCGCATCGCGGATAGCATTTTTGACCTCACTGGTGCGTTTGAGCCATTCCTTTCGTGGGTTTCTGATGCTGATATTTTGAAAGATGTTGATCACCTGGACAATGGTGGCCCCGACAAGAGCGTCAATGTCCTGGAAATCCTCCAGTCGACGCCGGGTGGCAACCCTTCCCAGAAGCTGTTGCAGGCTGGCGTCTTCCCCCGAACTGTTAGCGATCAGATCTCTCGATATCGCATTGGATATGTGAATTCCAAGGTGCCCAGAGCCACCCACAGGCATCACGTGAGGACGTTCACCGAAAAGACGCTGCGTCGCTACGAGTTTGTGGATTGCAGCATGTACGTTGCCATCCAGGACAAGGTGTACGACATCACAAGTGAGACCGCCACTCTTCATTTGGTAGAATCAAAAGACTGACAGTTGCAAATCTCAGACTACGTTATGCTCCACCCTGGAGGCGAAAGGCTCTTGGCTGAGAACGGGGGAAGAGACATTACCGAGTTATTCAACAAAAATCACCCTCAATCTAAAGACGAATTGATAGAATCATTGCAGGCGGTGCACATTGGCAGGATGGTCGAGAACCGGTCCGAGACGGTCCTGCTTGACGGACTGCCGTCGCCAGAGGTTGTGCATCATGACGAGATCCTGCTCCGCAATGAGATATATTCAGTCCGAGGTGAGCAGCCCCACAAAATGAGGCAATGAAAGTCAACTAACACTTTGTTTTTGTCAGCTCTTATCGACTCGGCAGAGAACTACCGCCTGGTCGAAGCACTCAGGCCCTACCTGGGCAAAGACGCCAGCCAAGCGCTTGCGGACGAGGACGACGACGAGGGTCCTCTAACGACGTTTGCCCGTATGAAGGGCTTCATCGTGGCGATGACCGACCCTGTTAAGACTGAGCTTCGCAACATGTCGATCACGGAGATGAGAGGCTTTGACGGGCTGAATGGCCGCTTGGCGTATGTTGCTGTAGATGGCTTGATTTACGATGTGACAGGTATGCCAAGAGTTACAATTTGTCTCTGACTGGTCAACTGACACTGCCCAGATGTGATCGACTTTGGCCACAATAACCGGAACTACGTCAATTTGGGTAATTACGTGGGTCACAGTATCCAGAGCGACGACGCGCTGGCCGAATACGTAAAAAACAACTGCGAGCACCGGCTCTGTGCCAGGTTGGTCGAGGCCAGATACCCAGACAGTGGATCCGAGAAGTTCACTTGGGATGCCGCTAGATGGCGACCGAGTAAGTTGCGTCCTTCCATCGGAGGCGACATCTTCCTGATTGATTCTCCAGAGGAAAATTATCCGCCTCTTTGGGGTTACAGACCCCCGAACCCTCCCTCGCCACCACAGCCCGACGAAGTCGCGCCCTATCCCCACTTTCAGATGTTGGAGGACAAGTACGGCGTGCAGGACTTCTTCGACGGTTACGACGCCAACACCGCCGGCGAGGTGCTCGACTCCCTCATCAACCCAGCCGGGGGCTATGAGGCGGACTCTGACGACTCGGACTCTGCCCAGACCGTCTGCGCGGTGCAATCGTACCAGCCTGTTATGGCTACGCATTACGGGAGAAACAGGGGTAAAACGGACGTCAAACGTCGGCTTAAGGAGAAGCACAGGATTCAGCGGCTGCGTGGGAAGAAGACGCCTGGAGCTCGACCGAGGCTGGATGATGGCAGCGTCGGTGTCGAGGAGAGTGTGTGTTCGAAGCGTAAGGTTCATTTTGCGAAGGAGGATGGGCCTGACAAGAGGCGGAAGATTTTCGAGTACAGCACTGAATATGCATAGAAGAATGGCGGTGTCGTAAGTTTGTTACAATTCGTGGGTTAAGTTGGGGCGTTTATTTGACACGGATTGTATTGTTCGACTGTGGCTTTTGAACCCTTCCCTCATTTGTACCGTTCTATCGTGTCTGAACCTAATCTTCGACCCTTTTAAACCAGACGAGTGGCCCATCGCCTGCCGGCGTACCCTCGAGTACATTTTCCAGCCTGAGATCAAGTCCAAGCTCAGTCACCGTACCGGTAACATCAACCTTGAACTCCGCCCGCATACAGATAGAAGGAGTCGTGACGTTCTTGCCGTCTCCAGCTTCCATGTACAGACGCCCGACCCAGTAATTGCCAGACTTGGGCTCGAGATACAGAACCGGCTTCATGAACGCCCAGCCCACACCCGCAACATTCAATACACGAAGCTTGCATTGCTCCATGCTTTTTGCGCTGTAACCGAGGAACGAAGGTTCCGCATCTTCGCAGTGCAGATCGACTTTGACTGTTCCGTATCCGGGATCGCTGTACTCACCGATGTGGTCGGAGATGGGAAGTGTCGGGAGGAGAGGCGGCTCTGGTACTGAAGGGTAGATGTAATCGCCGCAGTTCTCGAGATACTTATGTTGCAACCTTTTCTGCGACTTATACCTGCTCAAGTATTAACCTCTCGTTTCCCCTGTCAGTCGGAAACCTGCTCACTGCTTATTCAAGTCAAGCCGTTTCTCCTTCGGCACGCCAAAGTGCTCATACAAAAGATGATGAGCAATCAGCTCTATCGCAGGGGACTCGGTGTTCGACATAACCGTAACGGCGAACTTCTTCGACGGGATCATGATCATGATCGATACGAACATGTTGACCTGCCCCGAGTGAAAGTACGCCCTCTCACCCTCGAACACCGCCTGGTTCCAACCAAAAGCGTACGTCACCGGCCCGACGAACGGCGGCTTCGACATGGACGAGAAACTTCTCGGCGTCTTCACCTCCCTGTGACCGTCCTTGGACAGCGGCGCATCCTCATTCATCATGACGCGGAGGTACTTGGCGTAGTCAAGCACATTGGAAATAATCGACCCGGCGCCCTCTTCAGCAGAGAACGGCTCATGTGGCACCTGTAGATGCCTCCCCTGAACAGGATCGTATACATACTCATTCGCAAGCACCAGCCCACTCTCCTCCGCATCCCTCAGCGAAAAGTACGTCTCCTGCATCCCCATCGGCTCCCACAGCCTCTCCCTCAGAAAGTCCCCCAGCCACTGCCCGGTGAGCGTCTCAATGAGATACCCCATCACGCCAAACATCTTGTTGCAATACTGATACCTCGCACGCGGCTCCGCGGACATGGGCAAGTTGCGCAGATTCCGCACCATCTCGCGCGCCGTCGCCGAGCTCGCGAGGTCGTGGCGCGGGTAGCCGGTCCGGTGGCTCAGTGCGTCCTCGAGCGTGACGTGCGCCGTCGCCCACGCGTCGCTGAGGACGAAGTCGTCGAGCACGCTGGACACGGGCGTCGTCCAGGTGAGGCTGGTGGAGTTGTCGACGAGGAGGGAGAGGCCGGCGGCTGTGAAGGACTTGGTGGTGCTGCCGGTGTAGAAGAGGGTGTGCGGGGTGGCTGGGGTTGAGTTGAGGACGGCGTAGCCGTAGCCCTGGTGGTGTGTTAGCTGATACTGTCGTGGGCGGACGGGGTTAGTGTGGCCACGCCGGCGCCGTGATTGCGGGCCTGGCGCCGATCGCCGGGCGGCGATGACCCGTCAACGGATCCCTGATGCCGGGCATTGGGAAATAGGTACCTCGGCCCACGTCTTGTCTCCATCCACAACGGCGACTGAAAGACCCGGCACGTGCCATTCTTTCATCAAGCCCTCGATGTAAGCGCCGATATCTGAGGAGAGCACCGACGAATCATCGTCAGACGACTGTAGGGGCCGCTGTGCCGCATCCTCCCCGACCGCTTGAGCAGTGACTGAGAGCGCCAATAAAGCCAGAAACGCCCTCATCTTCAATTACAGTCAGGAGCCAATTTATGTCAGTAAGTTGGTGATGGTTTAGAGATGAGGGGTTAGTCAACACTCGGATTTCCTGTAAGCTGAGAGCTTGAATGTCGGATGACGTTGCCGCACAATGATCCCTGTCTCAGAACATTATAGGTCGTGCTGATTACGGCGACGCATCGGCCATCTGTGCCGCACGAATGAATAAGCGCTGCATCTTGACAGGACTGTTTACTTTGGTCCATATGAGGAAGGTCGTTGCGCCGATTACACGACGCAGATGAGAACGATTAATAACCCAGATGGACCGCGAAAGTAGTGTGGATCTAGACGAACGCTTGTCTGTCAATGCATCTACTGAATGTTAGAGTTAGGGCAGCTCTTTGACAATGAAGATGGCGAGAACTCGATAAAGAATACATTGCATTGTCCATTAGCATCATTCAAGGATTTGAGTAGACTCGAGATACCTCTGGCAGCTGTCGGAAGAAAGAAAATTTGAATTGTCCTTTACCCATTGAGATGCGAAGCTTCTTGTTCGTCTCCTGTGTTCTAGCTCTTTCCCTGCACAGGGAGAGTTCTTTTGTTGCCTGAATTCAAAGAAGAACGTGTGGGCGCAAGCATGCTTCTCACAATACGCGCTTTGTTCTCGTAAAGTTGAAATAATTCCAGCTTGTGCCCAATATTGGATCTTGAAATCAATGCATTTTTCTAACAAATTTACGAAGCAAAACGTTAAACCGTAGAGTTATTTACAACTTGAATTATCCTCGACACAAACTTTCTTCTGGTTCAAACGCACCATCTCAGATGAACGTTCTCAATATGTCTGCATTCTCCGCCACCGACGATCAGGAAATGGCCAACCTGCTTGTCCTCGCCGCAGCCACCAACGAACTAACCCCGCGGGCCCCCGAAGCGGCCACAGCAGAAACCTCTCTGGGCCTCTCATGCAACAGTCTGACCAACCCGAGCGGCTGCGAAACCACCGTATCGCATCTCGACATGTACAATCAAGACCTTGAGAGTGGTATTACGAACGCGCCAAACGGAGATGGGCCCCACCCGAGACGGGAATCTCTGCCCGATACTCTTTTCCTGGACGATCTCCTTTGTATTGAGAGCAATACTCCGATGTCCTTCGAACTTACCTTGGCCCTCGAGAACCTTGGTTGAGAGAATGCCACGAAAACCGTTCGGCATGGAGCTATCAAGCTTTACGAGGATGCGCAGGACCCATAAAAAACCGTTCAACGGCGCAGATATTCGTGAGCCGCATCACTCAGGGTTGGCACCACCCTGCGAAACGCCGCATACAAGCTTCAATATTGGTACTGATCGGGCACATTTCAATCTCACCTAACGATGTCCAACACAGTTTCACCAGAAGAATGGGCGCCCATCTATACTGGCAATATTGGACATAGAGGAGCTCAGACACGACCAATGGTGATGACGATAGCCACAGGGTATGGCAGCGCCTAGGGATCGGAGACTGCCAAGAAGACAAAGTAACAGTAGACAAGGGGAGAAAAACCAAAAGGGTCATAATCATGATGTAGTTGCTCATCCAACCAGATTGAAGTATTTGTCCACACCGCACATATCGTCCCACAAACACCCTGGGGGGAGGGGGGGGAACCTCAATATTCTTCAGAGTCAAATCGCCACTCGACTGAAGAGTGGCCATTCAATGCTTTCTCCGAACTTGAACAACAACCGTTGCGAACGATGCAGGTTTTATAAATTGAGAGATATTCTCCCTCTCTCGTTCTTCTCTCTTTTCTTCCTTCTCACCATCAGCAACTAGCACGCAGGTACTGACGTCAACTCTAGCAACTCTAACATCACCATATTTTCAAGCACAACAAATCCTGCCATCTAAAATCATCATCACATCATCTTTACAGTCACATCCCAAGATGCACTCCATCAAGTTCCTGGGAGCCATCCTGGCTGTCGCCGGCACGGGTTTGGCCATGCCCCTGGAGGCACCCATCGCTACCCCAGCTTCCCCTGCCCCCACCGCCGCCGCCCCGGCCGTGGAAGGTCTTCAGGAGTCGTGGGTTGGCTGTGACAATGGTCATTGCCCCCCCGAGGACCCCAGCCCCTGGTCGAAGAAGGCCAAGGAGCGTTGGGCAGCGAAGAAGGCCAAGATGCCAAAGAAGACTTCGAAGCCCAAGGACCTCAGCCCCGAGGAGCTCGAGAAGAAGGTCACTGAGCTTTGGGGAGAGAAGAAGGCTAAGGAGTTTTTCGCAGCGAAGAAGGCCAAGAAGCCGCAGAACCCTCCGAAGCCTGCGGAGCCTTCGTGCAACAAGGACAAGAGAGACGCGGCTGTCGACGCCGCCTGCGCCACCGACGACGACGGCTTCAGAAAGCTGTCGCCGGAGGCCCTCAGCGCCATCCTCAATGCCGCCCCGGGGCCCGTCGTGGCCGAGTCAATGCCCTCCGCCGCCGCATACGAGATCCTGCCCCCCGGCGCTGCCGAGAAGATCCGCGGCGCGCATGGCCCCGGCGTCGTCGCCTCTACCGCAGCCGTCTCGGGTCCTCTCAAGCTGACCAAGAGGCCCGCCCGCACCTCCTCGGCTGCCGGTAAGCCTACCGCGTCCTCCGCTACCGGTACCCCTAGCGCCGCTACGGCGACCGGTACCCCTACCACCGCTACGGCGACCGGCACGACCACCCCCAAGGTGATCTCCGTCGGGGTGACCGGAACGCCCGCCCGCCCATCCCTAGCCACCGGTACGGCCACCAGCACCACCGCCCCCACAAAGGTCCACCTCGCGGCCCGGGGCTACCCCTCTAACTTCGCGGACCTCGTCCGCGTCGGGCCCCAGATCGAGAAGAAGACGCCCACCGCAACCCCGGCGCCCAACGCCCTAGACTGCGCTTACATCATGGACGAGGGCATCAAGGAGATCATGGCCAAGGGAGACGCGGCCATGGAGAACTACGAGGCCTTCCAGCAGTGTGTCTTCGCTGAGGCCACGAGCCAGAGTTGGGCTTTGTCGGAGGGTGGTCGTATCACTCGTATCCCAGTGATGGATGATGCTACCCGCGAGCGTCTCATTGCCAATGGCGACATCGTTGTCCTCAAGGGAAAGCGCAAGCCGGGCACCAAGCCTCAGCACTCTTGAGTCCTCTGCCGACGATGAGGAATGGGTGAGGACGAATGGCGAGTTGATGAAAAGACGGCATGTAGGAGCACAGGGCCCTTAAGAAAGAAATTGATAAGAAAAGGCCAGATGTGTGGGTTCCCTGTATTTATTAGAATGTACCAGCAGGGAAGCAGTGTATCACCTCATTGGTGAATAAGTCTAGATCGGAAGTGGAATCTATTTTGTTTCCACACGTGTCGCTACTGATTCCCGAATGCTGCCGTGAAGCTGTGTCATATCCTCTGTGCCGTGAAATGGAATATAGTGATTTGCCTCACATACCACCCTCCAAGGCTTCTCATTTCCAAGTGCGTGAAGGCTTTCGACATCTCAAGTGCGGCAAAATCCAACCTATCAATTTCCCATCCCCAGCTCCCATGTCTTCAAAAGTCGTGAAAGTTTTCAATATTCCATGTTGACCCAAAGCATCCCCCTTTCTACCGAACGCCACCTCCAAAACAAGCAAGGCGGTGGCCATCGCCTCACCAAACCGAGACCTTGTGAGCTTTCCCCCCGTCCCCACCACCAACCGACTCACGAACACCTCCTAGATAAACCCAATAATGCCATCCAACCTATAACCTCCCCCCGCAAGCAAGAAAAGAAAGAGAAAACCGGGGAAAAATAAAAGAAGCCCTGGTATTGTTCTCCCTGACGGGAGCTTCATGCTGTGGCGATTGCAGGGGAGCGGGAATGGGAGGTTGTAAGAGGCAAAGAAAAGAGAAGAATAATTGGCGGGGAGTTGTGAAACGAGTGCATGGTGGAATGAAGTATGTGAGGTTGTCTTCGGAGTATCTAACTGCGAACGCAGAGCACACATAATGGCGAACTTGGATCCAGATCGCCTACGGGACATGCAGAGTCAAAGTTTAAGCAAATCATTTTTGAATTGAAAGCAAGTACGACTGAAACATTACCTCTCCTGCTGGAGATGTATAGCTGAAGAAAACGCCGCGACCAAGTACCATGAGCATCGCCACGTCCACACTTTTCCAGTGCAGCTAAAATGAAGACTATTTTGGTCCACCCGCAAGTGAGGTAACCTAACGCCTGATGGGGTATTTCCGCTCTGAACGCCTCAAAGCACACGAACAAGCACCCAGTAGCCCCCTTACGCCAAGGAGCAAGAGAATCTTACTGCTAGCGTTGCTTCAGCTGGTCCTCCTCCCATCCTCTCAGCCCCTTTCGTCTCTGGTCCTCGTCCTTCTCTGGTGTTTTCATCGTCATCGTCGTCGTCTCGAATCGTCGCCCGTTTCTGTCCGTCTCCGTTCGTCTCCATTCTTCGTCGTCAACTTAGAAACCGAGTTCACAGACCTTTATGCGACTGCTTCGCTCTTAACACGAGCGTCTTGGGCACCTGCCTGAAACTCATCTTGCAGTTGCGACGCGGCGAGGTCGTCGTCATCGGCAAATGGATCTATGTCTTCAGAAACAGACGAGACCTCGGCTGCAGGAGACTTGGCGAACCACCGAGATGTGCCCTGCAAGATGGGGTACATTTCAGCCCGAAGAAGGCGTTCCGCTCTTGGGAGACCAGCTGGCTGGATGCTAGAGTCGACCCCAACTAGGACAGAAAGATAGTCGCGAGCGAGGAGATTGTAAATGTCCTGAATCTGAACCGCCATGTCATGCTCAACCCGCTTGCATAGCGCCTTCAGTTGCTCTTTGACGCTATCAGTGGAGCGACGGAACATTGTATGACGGGCGTTCTCAACGTGGTTGATCATGTGCGACTTCATTCGAGCGTACGAGCCGGGGCCTATCAAAAGGTTAGCTCAGGACCCGTAACCGAACCAGACGAACTTACCACACTCTGCAACACACAAATCATATCCCGGCTGCATCTCATCCGTGATAACGGGATGGAAGCCTCTGCTAGCCTCACGCTGTAATTCCTGGACAACGATGCGGAGCAAACCTGGAACTTCCTTGAGCCGGGCTGTGTGGGTCCGAAGTTGCTGGCTGAGCATGTTGATTCCCGCGTAGTTGGTACCGCGCTGCTGAGAGCGGGCGATGGCTCCACGGTGGAAGTTGTCCAAGAGCAAGCGGGCACTCATAGCGAAACCTTCAAGCGCTTGGGGGAGGCGGCGTTGGAAAGCACGCTCCCATCCTGTGGCAAGCTGCTTGCTGATAGGCTCGAAAAGCTCTGCGTTGAAGTCGCGAGGACCAGATGCTCCAGCATAGACACCGGACCGGCGGCACGTCGCCTTGTAAGTTGCCCAGAACATGCCACCCTCGCTTCGGTGTGCGCCCCAGGAGGTAGCAGTTGGGACGGCTGCGGCAGACGCTGATGGAATGGTGAGGTCAAAGTAGTCGTATATGCTTTCAGCCAGAGCCTCCTTTATCGAGGTCAGGCATTCATCGACGGCCTTCTTAAAGTCCTGCATTTAGTCAGTAGTGGAAAAGACCCAGACAAGACACAAGGGTCAGGAAACGAAAAGACTTACTCTATCCAACGAAGCCAATTGCCGACGGATGTGACCTTCCTCGTTTCTCTTGTCTTGGTCGCTCATGTGAGAGAGGGAGCCATCGTTGGCAGCCCACATCCTCATGGAGTTGAGGAGCTGGCTCAGATCGTTGAGGAAACGACGGCAAGTGGCCGCACGGCCAGCTTCCGTGAGCTTTTTGGCATGCTGTTGCAACTGGGGTACCTCGGTTTCGTCCGCGTTGCGAAAACCTTCGTCATTGAAGTCGTCCTTCTGTAGGCGACCTCTCATCTTCTGGTACGCACGACTGCTGACACAGAATACCGGCAAGTTACGGGCGACCTCATCATAGTCTCTGATATCCTCATCCGGGTTGAATGTCTCTTCGTTTTCCTCGATGGCGGCTTCCTGGTCCAGTCTACAGCAGTTAATACCAAGTTCATAGTGCAATAGAGAGGGACGAGAGGGGAAACGAGGACGGGGAACGAAGGCGAGGGTGGAGGGAGAGACTGGAGAAGAGAGGCGAGAACGGAGAAGAGAGACGACGACGGAGAAGAGAGACAAGGATGGTGAACGAAGGAGAAAGACGAGGACGGTGAACGAAGAGGGACGAGGACGAAGAATTAAGGAGAGGGACGAAGATGGAGAACGAGGATAGAGAACGAGGACGTGGGATGAAGAGGGACGAAGAAGAGGGATGAAGAGGAGGGATGCAGATAGGGGATGAAGAGGAGGGATGAAGAGGAGGGATGAAGAGGAGGGATGAAGAGGAGGGATGAAGACGGGGGACGAAGATAGGGGACGAAGATAGGGGACGAAGATGGGGGACGAAGACGGGGGGCAAAGACGGGGGGCAAAGACGGGGGATGAAGACCGGGGACGAAGACGGGGGACGAAGAGGAGGGGGGTAAAAACGTACTCTTTGATACCCATGGCGAAATCGCGCTGAATAGCGCCTTTCGAGTATTCGTTCCTGCCCTGGATGCAGATAGCTTTCACGCCAGCAAGAAGACGACCCTCTTCAGCTTGCAGGGGCTTCATCGCCTGGCGGATATCAGATAATTTATGATCCACCTCCTTGCGCAGTTGGCGAACCTCCTTGCGCTGTGCCTTAAGCTCTGAGAGCCTTTCCTGGATCGCCTCTTCCGTTAGGGGGTGGCGTTCGCTATCGCTGCCGCCATCGTCGTCGTCATCGTCCGGCTGGTTCTCCTTATCACTAGCCGAATCGTCCGAATACGACTCGTCGTCGCTGTCAGCAGACATGCGGTTCTTGCGGCTTCTGGAGGAGGTTGCACCGCGTTTGCGTTTCCTACTGTGGGTGGTGGGTGCGTAAACAGTGTTGCCGTCAGCGTGCCGCTGCGATAGGTCATCCCACTTTTCCCATTGACTGTCGAGCTGCTCGAGCCTATCGAGGAGATCTGCCTTCTCGTCCTTGCCGTCCATGAGCTGTTTCTTGAGAATACGCAACTGGTCGCGCAGGTCGTCAATCTTGGCCCACGAGTCGGCGACGTCTGCTTCAATGTCGAGACTCTCGGCGGCCTCAGTCACCGAAATATCGTCCGTCTTGGAGCAGATGAAGGTAACAGCGGAGTAGATACCGTCGTACTTGAGCTGGCGCTTGAATGAGTCGCCAAGAAGGGACTTGGCCGTCTTGTCGTCGACTGCGCGGTTGATGGGAGCGACAATCCAGAGACCACTGCATGCCTTCATGTATTGCTGGGCAACAGCAGCTCGGGCAGCGTTGGAGTCCTGTACACCGGGCAGGTCGACGATGATGGCGCCAGTGGACAGAGCGTTCGCCTTGGTGTAGATGCGGACAACCTTGATCAAGGGCCAATACTCCATGGGTACGTCCTTCTTGAGATGGTTGTTCTTCTCTTTGCTGTCGACGTAGCGCTGCATGCCGTTGTAGAGCTCCTTGGCGGTGGTTGACTTGAGCTTCTTGACACTGCCGAGCACACGTCTCACTTCGGACTCGTTGGCGAGTTTCTCGGGGCTGCTCTCGGCAATCATCTTGTTGGTCTTGGAGGGATAGACGGACTTGATCTTGGCGTAAGCGACACCAGCCTCCGTGTCAGGGTTCGTGCACTCGCGGGACACATTGCCATTGTCGTCAAAAATGTCCGTGTACAGCGTCTTGAGCTCCTTCATCCAGTCCTCGGAAGAAATGAACTCAATCTCGGCACGGTAGAGCTCGGAGGGGTCGTCGGACTTGTTGTATGAGATCTCCGTGGGGGAGGCAGTGCAGGCTCGAAGACAGTTGGTCGGCAGAAGTCTCTCTTCGTCAAGGAGGGCGTTGATGACGGAGCTCTTGCCGGCACCGGTGTTGCCAACGACACCAACGATGGCCTTGGAAGCCTCCGATCGGGCCTCGAGATCGCTGATTGCCTTGAGCCAGACGGGGGCTTGGGTGTCGGGCATGGATGAAGCAGCATTGAAGAAGTTCTTGATGTGGTTCAAAAAGTCCAAGCCTCGCTTGAGGCCCTCTTCCAGGATCTCTGGGGATGTCTCTGTGGACCACTCCTCGAGAGGGTCAGGACCTTGCTGTTCTTC